GCGCGGGCAGCAGCAGAGCGCACGAGGGCGCGGGCAGCAGCAGAGCGCACGAGGGCGCGGGCAGCAGCAGAGCGCACGAGGGCGCGGGCAGCAGCAGGGCGCACGAGGGCGAGGGCAGCAGCAGAGCGCACGAGGGCGCGGGCAGCAGCAGGGCGCACGAGGGCGCGGGCAGTGCAGAGCGCACGAGGGCGCGGGTGAGACAGAGCGCACGAGGGCGTGGGCAGAGCAGAGCGCACGAGGGCGCAGGCAGCAGCAGAGCGCACGAGGGCGCGGGCAGCTGCACGAGGGCAGGAGGGCAGGCGCGGACAGGACGGAGGCGGCTGCTGCAGGGGCGGCGTCGCGGGGTCCAAGGGCGGCTGCACCAGGGGCGGCTGCTCAGGTCCAGGGGCGGCTGCACCAGGGGCGGCTGCTCCAGGGGCGGCTGCACCAGGGGCGGCTGCTCCAGGGGCGGCTGCACCAGGGGCGGCTGCTGCAGGGGCGGCTGCTCCAGAGGCCAGGGGCGGCTGCTCCAGGGGCCAGGGGCGGCTGCGCCAGGGGGCGGCTGCTGCAGACCCGCCACCCCCATACCCGTCACCCCCATACCCTGAGTGTGCGGTAAGCGAACTCAGGTGTGCGGAAAGCGAACTCGGGTGCGCGGAAAGCGAACTCGGGTGCGCGGAAAGCGAACTCAGGTGTGCAGGGAGGGGGGCCGCACGGTGACGCGCGGGCCAACTGGGACGGGCGCACGGATCCCCGGGGGCGGCGCGCGGGTCTACGGGGCCGCCGCGAAGGGCGACGGGGAGCCGCGCGCGGGTCGACGGGGCCGCCGCGAAGGGCGACGGGGAGCCGCGCGCGGGTCGACGGGGCCGCCGCGAAGGGCGACGGGGAGCCGCGCGCGGGTCGACGGGGCCGCCGCGAAGGGCGACGGGGAGCCGTGCGCAGGTCGACGGGGACAGGCGAGAAACCGCCACGTGCCCCGAGCGCGTGGCGGGCAGAAAACCGCCATGCGCTAGGAGCGCATGGCGGGAAGAAAAAACGTCGCGCGCCACGGGGCGCGCGACAGACAGGAAAGCAGCGGAAGCTTTAGGTGGGCCCACAGGCCAAGAGCGTAACAGCTCTGATTCCATGTTGAAATAGTAGGCAGAAGTGATGGCTAGGGTTTTGTTAGGGCCTAGGCTTAGTAGCCTAGGCCAAGGAGGAACTTTTGGGTTGTGCCAAGAAGAAGAGAGAATGAGATGGTTTGACTATGGAAGAGCAGGTACAAATAGAAGAGAACCAGCAAGGAGTGGTGCACCACCACACAGAACACTAGGTAACTACTCTACAGCTAGAACTACATGCACTTATACAGACATATATATAAGATATATTCTGACAGCGGCATTTGCGGCGACGGCACGTATCGTAGCGCCCTCGTTCGTCCCACGAGGCCGATGTCCCCAATTGCTGCTTCCGTAGGACCCCGGTCTCGGTCGGCGGAAGAAATCGAGCTTCTCCGCCATGGCGAGAATCTCCTGAAAATCAGTGACGCCGCAAAGCTGGATTTCCTGAGCGATGTCCTGCTTCAGGCCGCCGATGTAGCGGTCGATGCGTTCGCTCTCGTGCATATAACCCACTTGCTCGCATAGCGCCAGAAACCCGCTCGTGTAGTCTTGGACGGAACCGAGTTGGCGCCAAGTGCGGAGCCTCTGTCGCGCCGCGTTCGAAGCCGCAATTGGCTCGAAACGAGCGCGCAGACCTTCGCACCACGCGTCCCACGTGCAATACTGGGGCACCTCCACGAAATACGACGGCGCCCAGGGTCCGGTTTGTCCTTCCCGTGTCGGTAGAGTCGCGTAGTCCACCGGCTTCGTGACGATGACACGCCACTAGTCCATGGCGGGTCCTCGCAGCAACGACTCGGCGTAACGAATCTTCGTCGTATCCTCCGAGACGTAGTTCGCGTCGAAGAAAACGTTCAACGTGAAAAGCCACGCCTGAACGGTAAGACCACCCCGCTGACTTGGGTCAAAGCATGGCGGACGCTGCGGCTTCAGCGGCATCGGCGACGGTAGAGCTGATTCGCCGGCCGGCACCGAAATCGTGACTCGAGGCTGATTCCTGGCCGCATTCGTCGCGTCGGGGTGTGTCGTGCCGTGGTCGTCGTCTCCGTCATGGCGGACGACGCCATCACTTGCGGCGCTCGCGGGTTGCCCCACACTTCCGTGTTGCGATGTCTGTGGTGCGGGCTGAATCGGAGTGCCAGGTGCTTGGGATTGTGCTCGTGCGAAGTCATTCTACAGGGAGGTACGTTCCGCCGTTAATGCTGCGATTTCTTCGGAGTTTTCGTGCAGTTGTCGCAGCAGCTCGTCCAGGCGGTCCTGCGTGAGGTTAGTGACATAAAGATGTTCTGCCATTCCGAAGGGCATCGGCTCGTCTTAGTCTAGGCGCATTCGTGGCTGCACGCGTTTACGAGAGAACGCGAGGACAACGGCTCCTAGGTGCTAAGGTGCGTGAGTCCCTTCGGGTGAAAAATCAAAAGTTGATTTCCTGGGGTGCGGAGATGCGCGGTCCGAAAAGGAAAGAGGCTCTGATAACCAAGTGTTACGGGTGCAATGAATCGAAGTAGTGAGAATTGCACTAAGGTGTCAAACGAGTACAAAATGTGAGCGAAGGCATGAGCGAACATTTATACGCGAAACATGCAAACGGTAACGCGGTGCGTGCGAGCTAGCTAGTGCTATGCTGGAAGCGAGGCTCGGGCTAGTCCCGAAGCGTAGGCCGACACGGCCAGGCCAGCAGTGCGAGGTTTGGTGAAACAGTGCGCGCGAAATCGGCGAAGCCCCGTTAGCAGTAACGGGCGAACAACGGCTGCTGCTGTACGCGATGTTGCAGGGCGCGCTAAGGAATATCGAGAAAATTCCTTACAGGCCCCAATGCTAGACCCAGGGGTTTTTTTATCAGAGTAAATTACTCTGTTTCTCCGAAAATCAGAGTGGTTTTTAGGGGGTCACTCTGACGTGTCTGTGTAATTTTTTTGGAAGATTAGTTTTCTCTGATTTGTCAGGGTTCTGATTTGAGCTACTCTGAGACACCGGTGTATATTTGTGGCGAATGTATTTTTCTCTGTACAGGGTATAGGCATTTCGACCGAGCCCTCCCGCGAATTGGTGGAAAATGGTTGGGCTAACTTGATAAAGCTATATTCTCTTCTCAAATAATTGTAAGCGCGTAGCACCACGGTCGTAATTTTGGTAGGAGTGCAGAAGGCCTGGGTTCAATACTTGAGAGGACAGCCAGCGTCGGAAAAATAGTTACACTGACTGCCCAGAGCATATTTTTCAGAAGTTAAGTTTTCTCTGACAAATCAGAGTAATGCTCATAATTCACCCTGAATTTCAGAGTTCCCTAGAAAACAGCTCTGGAAATCCGAGTAGTGGAAATCCAAAAAAAAACCCTGGCTAGACCGTTTGGTTAATTATTGGTACTCTAGACAAAACAACGGGTAAACATGTGAGACGCGATATCCTTTCGACACATGGAAATCGCGTCTGAACCGATCGGGACCATTTTATTGTTTTTTCGCCTCAAACATTTTGAAAGCATCCTTTCTGACGCTGACCGTGGATCCCCCAGTCCTCCGTGTTTCACCCCCGAGGGCCGTTGGGGTGCAGGTTTCCATCCATTTCGGCCGTTACCGTCATCGCCCGGATATAAGACATGTATGTCTTATCTCATACATGAAAAAAAATCAGTCTTATAAATGGACAAAAATCCGTTTAGAAGATACTTCCTCGTTATACATTTGCCATTTGCCCCTACACACAAATAGGTGTCTTATAATGGGGCTACCCCGTTTACAAGAGACACCCGTATAATAGACAGCCCCTGTCTCCTATTCAACACTGTCTTATATCCGGGTGATGACGGTACACTTGGTGAGTAGGGCCGACATTGGGTCGGCTCCAGGGCTTTTTTTTGGATTTCCACTACTCGGATTTCCAGAGCTGTTTTCTAGGGAACTCTGAAATTCAGGGTGAATTATGAGCATTACTCTGATTTGTCAGAGAAAACTTAACTTCTGAAAAATATGCTCTGGGCAGTCAGTGTAACTATTTTTCCGACGCTGGCTGTCCTCTCAAGTATTGAACCCAGGCCTTCTGCACTCCTACCAAAATTATGACCGTTGTGCTACGTGCTAACAGTTATTTGAGAAGAGAATATAGCTTTATCAAGTTAGCCCAACCATTTTCCACCAATTCGCGGGAGGGCTCGGTCGAAATGCCTATACCCTGTACAGAGAAAAATACAGTCGCCACAAATATACACCGGTGTCTCAGAGTAGCTAAAATCAGAACCCTGACAAATCAGAGAAAACTAATCTTCCAAAAAAATTACACAGACACGTCAGAGTGACCCCCTAAAAACCACTCTGATTTTCGGAGAAACAGAGTAATTTACTCTGATAAAAAAACCCCTGGTCGGCTCCAATGATTACACTGCCGGCGCAGTCCCACCACTTGCTTTTTGTTGCGACCCTGAACCAGTTGGGCGACAGAGCCAAACCCAATGGTTCCATCGTGGTGGCCCAAAGGGCTATCGAACAGGGCCTTTGTGGTTAGAACGCATGATGCCCAACAAAGGGTAGTGTTTCCAAGCAGCAAATGGGCAGAACGAGCATGTTACATGAATTACTGAACTTATAACCTTCACGATTAAGCTCTCCTAACCATCTGACAGGTACATTTGAAAATAGTCAGTTTTTACTCACACCCTCCTCACATAAAAAAGAGGAGGGGTTGATGTTGCACTTGGGAAGCCAACAATAACTATGGCAACCCAACCCAGCACAACAAAGAATTAAAACACATCAGCAGCCCAAGTCATCAGCCCCAAAACCATCTCTTCGCTACTTCCCACCAAGATCCTAAAACACATTCCCCATCCCAAATCTACCACTAACACAGGTCACACACCTACTTGATTGACAACCGACCAAACCTGGCAGACGCATGCTGCCAGCCCTGAAGCGCAGGGACCAATCACGTGGCGCCACGTGCCTCCCTGCGCGTGGCGTCGTGTAGAATGTCCACGTCAACACCGTCTGGTGGCAGCAGCACGTAGCGCACCACTGAGCCTCGGATGAAACAGTTCTTCACTGACAGCTGTTGGGGAATGGTAAGAAAGCACAGACGGAGCAGAGAGGGCGAGTGAGGGAGGGAGGTCGTGTGATGGCTATATGGTGGCAGCAACATAGAGCGCACCACTGAGCCTCGATCAAAACAATTCTTCCCGATGGGGAATGGTCAGCAAGTACGGGATGGCGGGGTAGACAAAAGAGGGAAGTAAGATGAACAGGTGAGGAGCGAGAGGGAGAGCAAGGGAGAGGTTGAGAGGTGAGGAGAGAGGGAGGGGAGTTGTGTGATGGTTGTCTGGTGGCAGGAGCACGTGGTGCTCTTCTGGGCCTTAAATGAAACGGTCTTTCACTGGGAGCTGCATTGGGTAGAACGGAAGCAACAGGCATGGTAGTGAGCAGCGTGGATGAACGGAGTAAAGTTTTGTTGGCTGGTGGGGTTGACTGGTGGTCGTCTGGTGACAGCACCACTAAGTGTATGTGTACACCACTGATCCTTACAGGAAACAGTATCTCCCAAAAATATGGAGTGGGAAATGGCAGGAAATGACGGGAGTGGTGGGAATTCAAGTACGAAAGAGAGAGGGAGGGTGAGCGAAGAGGAGAGGACGAGTGAGGGAGGGACTCTGTCTGATGGATTTCTGGTGGCAGTAGCACAAAACGCCCCACTGAGCCTCGAATGAAACACTTCGCCACTGCGAGGAGTGGTGAGAAATCAAAGAGACACGGACATGGTGGGGGTGGACATCAGTGGGAAATGAGTGGTCACGTGCGTGCCGCACCTCCAAACGATCACAAACACACTCACCCTGTGCAGATACTAAGCATCGTTGACGACCCAAGAGTTGTGCACTTGATGTTCAAGGGGTATTGGCTCCAAGGGGTAAAGGAGAGAAGGGTGGGAGAGAATGTGGAGAAGGCACTTGGCTCCTACACAGCTCTCACCATGTGCGGGTATTTCGCATCGTTGACCACACGTGAGTTGTGCAGCTTGATGTTGAGGTACTGGTCCACAGAGTGCAGTGCGCCACGTGGGGGGAGCGCAGAGAGCAGAGAAGGATCATGGCACAGCCCTTTTCAACACTCACCATGTGCGGGTATTTCGCATCATTGACGACCCTGGAGTTGTGCAGCTTGATGTTGAGGTACTGGTCCACAGAGTGCAGCGTGCCGCTGATGGCCAGGTCGTTCTTCAGCTCCACCGTCACCTCCTTGCCGATCAGCTCCTTGAAATACGAGAAGAACAGCTGAGGGGAGGGGGGAGAAAGGAGGGGGATGGGAAAGTGGAGGAGAGGAAAGGGTTGATAAACAGGGGGTGGGATGGGTACGTGCAGAGGCTGGTTCTTGCTGCAGCGTCACCTCCTTGCAGATTAGCTCCTTCAAGTATGAGAAGAACAGCGGGTGGGGGGTTTGGGGGGGTGGGAGGGGGGTGGGGGGGGGAGGGAGGAAAGGGGGGAGAGGGAGAGGAGGGTTTGCTGGATTGAGTGTTGTCTGGCTTCGTGACTTGAAACACGAGACGCGTGGCTGAAGGGGGGAGGGAAAGAGGTGAGAGATAGGGGAGGGAGAGAAGGGGATAGGGGAGGGGAATTGGGATGCGGGAGCTTGGAAAGGAATGAGGGAAAGGAGGAGAGGGGAAGAGGGATGAGGGAGAGGGGAAGAGTGCGGAGAGGGGGAGGAGAGGGGGGGAGCGGAAGAGCAAAGGGATGGTGAAGTGGTGAGTGAAGGGTGGCTGGCTATATAATGGCTACCCGGACTGAAGGCCATTCTCCTCTCTCTCCGCCCTCTCTGCTCTCCTCCTCCTCCTCCCTCTTCCCCACGCTCTTTAACTCTATACAGTCAATGACAAAGCTGACAAGGGCAAATCCGTCCGCGCATTTTGCACCATGAGACGCCTTCACTGATAACCCTTGCCATGTGACCCTTGCCAAGTGACCCTTGCCATGCCAGAAATGTAGTCAGTTGCTGCCGAGTGGTAACGCCTTTACTAATTGACAAAACCACCCTGTTATGTCAGTTGCTGCTGCCTGAATGCACGAGCAATGGTTACCAGATAAGGATTGTTACCAGGCTAACGGCTGTTACCAGGCTAACGGCTGTGGATAGAACTCGTCACAAGATGCATTGACACGTGTCCATGCGCATGCGGCACACTGCACGACAGCCAATGAAATTGCGCCCACTCCCTCTTCTCCCGCTCCCCCTATCCTTCCATTCCATTCCCCTCCCCCCTCCCTCTCCCCCTACTCTACCTACCCACCCCGATTCCCCACCCCCACTCCCCAAACCGCCTCCCAGACTCCCACTCCGTCGCTTCTGCCCCGCGGTTGACGGTGCTACCGGCGTTGGGAGTACGACCCGACCAATAAAGCGTGCAACAACTCAATTTGGCGACATCGAAATTCGCACAAACGGAAAGGTTTCCAGGTGCGAGGGTCGACGAGAGGGGAATTTTTTTCTCCAGAAAACCGTTGACTCGATGCAGAAGAAAAGTATCGGCGAGACAGGGAGAAGCAGCTGTTAGGGTTTCATCGCAGGTAGAAACCGTCAGCGTAAGAACCGGTCGAGAGGATCACGGGTTTCCCGTGACTAACCGACGCTAAGAACCTCACCATGATCTCGCGCGAAGGAGAGAGGACAAGGCGAGGCGACGCGGGAAGCGTCTGAAACAGCTGCTGGTGCGAGAGTCCAGACGATGCGCGCCTATTGTTGAAAAGGGGAGCGATAAGCGCTTTTCCTCGTTTAACGGAAGAGACGGGAAAGGCGTGTGAAGCTGGGTGCGGAGGCCAATGGTCAGTCAATCAGATCGAGTGGAATTCAAACAGGTGTCTGGTAATACCGAGGGATGTGATCATTCGAGGCGAGGACGCGGGAGGAGGGAGGCGAGGCGAAACGAGGCGAGGGGGAGTGATGCTGGCTGGCCTGTTGTGCCGCTGCAATGCTTTGCGGGTGGCGAAAGATGTAACATAAACTGGATAGAAAACCGAGAAGAGTATCTCAGATACATGTATATATACATGGATTAAAAGCACTGCACATCTTTACAAATGTCACATTTAGCTTTTAAGGCATGAACAGTTGGTACTAACTTATACAAGTCCAGGCCTACTGCACGTCATGGACCATGACATGAATGGACTTATGAAAGCTAAAACCCAGCCTCAATAGAGGTGGGTGAATCTAAAGCTAAACCTAGGAGATGGTATCTCCATACTGCGTTGGACAACCCCCCATGTCAAATCGATTCATCAGGAGGAGGAACTTGCAGCAATACAGAACCAGAAGACAAGGGATGCACGGGCGTAGAGCACCCGAACCTGGGAGGGAGGAAAGGATGAAAGGGGGAAGCGTAAAACAGTGGAAAGAGGGCAAAATTCAATCGAATGCACCATCCAAGCAACAAAGATCCGCCCCATTTAGAGCTACACACATTCCCTCTATACGCATACCAAGCCGAGCCTCCACATACGCGTATCATATACAGAATCCAGTGCAATTCAAAACAAGAACTTGCGGAATCAACTCCATACTCGTACCTCTTTAAGAGCCATCCCTCCGCATGTGTGCACCGCACTGCCTCCCCCCACAAAACTCGTCTCCACCACCCTCACCCCTGCCGCCTTCCCACCCTTGCCCCTCAATCCCCCACACGACGCCGCCACAGGCAGTGCTCTTGATGGCGGTTCTGCTGCTGCTGCTTCTTCTGTGGCTGCTGTTGCTGCTGCTGATGAAGGTGCTCCTAACGAGGTGTTACTCTCAGTTGCAGCTGTTGCATGCCCTGCATCCCCTACACGCCCTGCTCCACAGCTCTGCATATCCCACACCACCCTCTGCATGTCCCCTCCACAGACACCACCATTCTCCCCTTCACACTCCCCACCAACCCTCCGCCTCTTCCTATTAGCCACTGCGACAGCCATCCCTCCCTCCACTCCTCCCTCACCCAACCGCTCCCCTTCCTTCTGCTGCTGCTGCTGCTGCTGCTGCTGCTGCTGCTGCTGCTGCTGCTGCTGCTGCTGCTGCTGCTGCTGCTGCTGCTGCTGCTGCTGCTGCTGCTGAATTTCTTTCTGTGCAAGCGCATGTGCATGGGAGCCGGGGTGGCAAGTTGCAGAGGAGAGGATGGGGAAGAAGAGGTGTGCGAGGGGGTGTGCAGCACACTCTATGGCACACCGCTCCACCACCAGCCGCCCCTGCCGGTGCAGCACGCAGTGCCCGTACCCTGACCGCACTGTCACGTTGATTAACAGCGCTGACGCTGAGAAGTCCAGTGCGCTGACAAATAGGACGGCGAGGATGAGGGGTTTGGAGGAAAAGTCGGCGGAAAAAAGGGGGAAAGTAGGAGAAGGAAAACAGAGAAGAATATGAGGGAAAAATGTTTTGCAGATGTTCCCAACTCTCCATTTTGGACCACCTCCGCAGAAATAGGAGAGGAGGTTGGGTTGGGAGGGGGCCAGAGGCCAAATTGGCACCCTCTTGGAAACACGAGCTAATGTTGTAAAGCTTTCTACCGCTTCCAACCGCACTTGCTACCTCTCTAGGCAGCTGCTCTCACCTCTCGGCCCACTTTGGGCTCTCGAGAACCGTGTCTGCACATGTCATGCCCGCTCCCCTCTGATAAGAGTGGGAGGCCAAGGAGAGAGGTTAGAGAGGAGAGGAGAGGAGAGAAGGGATGAGAGAGGGGAAAGGAGAGGGGAGAGGGACGAGGAGAGCGGAGAAGAGAGAGGAGAAGAGAGAGGAGAACGAGACTCATAAATTGCCCACACATCAACTGGCAAGCCATTGTATGGCATGGAAAGACAGGCAGCGAACTGAGAGGTGGAACACAACAAGCGATAAAGCTAAACTCATACCGTCTCCCCTCCACTCCCTTCAACCCTACCCCTCCAAAGACCCATCCCACCCTCTCCTCTTTCTCCCTGCCACTTCCCAGTTCCCCCCTCCAATTCCCCATGTTACAATCCGCCCCTCAACCCCCCACCCCCTTCTCCCCCCTTCCAACGCACCAGGCACAGCGGCTTGTCCACGACCACACTCTCCACTGCATGCACGGCAATAGGCCTAAAAACCTGTGATTCGACTCACAAGTCGCCTTGCTTCATTGCATTCACTTCACATCCTTCCCCACCCCTACCAACCCACCAGGCACAGCGGCTTGTCCACGACCACACTCTCCACTGCATGCACGGCGCCTGCTGCCAATAGGATGGTGTCGCCCGGACTGGCGCGCACGGGATGACAGGGGAGAAGGAAACGGATGGGGCCGTGGGGGGGGGCGGGGGGTGGGGGGGGAGGGAGGGGGGATGAGGTACTATTATTGTGAAAAAAACATTATGGAAGGTAGGCAGCGTTACATGGAGTGCAATCAGCGGAGCTGCGGAAGGGGAGGAAGAGGGAGGAGGGAGGAGGGAGGAGGGAGGAGGGAGGAGGCTGAAAATTCTGGGGGTAGGAAAAACAGGGGGTCTGACAGGGGGCAGACTACGCTGCCTTGACGAATCATCTTGTCTAGTGTCAAAACGAACAACACACACATTGCTGGTAGAAAAATAGGGTCCTTATAATCACGCATCTGATAGTACTTCGCCACGCACCGCGCAGCTCTGACCGCAAGTGCCAACGACGGGAAGACACGTGGCAGCATGTCGTCAACCTCGTCGTCTGCCTCCCCGCGGAGAGGCGGCGGGAGGGATTGTGCGTGCGCCGGGGGTGTCGCGCGCGGGGGCGGAAGCGGGGGGAAGGCGGAAGGGAGGCTTGCGCGGAGAGGGTGAGGGGAGAGGGCGGAGTCAAGCGAGCGGCGGAGGTGGTGACGTGGCGCGGAGAATCGGCGGGAGAAGCGGAGCGGGTCCACGTGGATCCACATGCGGCGATCGGCGGCAAGATGTTGCCATCTGCGGCACACACGGCCCGCGTGGAACCGATCTGCCAATAACGGAGATGAGATAGGAGGTACGATAGGGAGGGTCGGAGGGGAGGAAGGACTATGAACATAACGAAGACGCGCCGCGCCGCTGATGCGGAAGCAACATCTGACGCGCCTCGAAGTTCCCTTCGCATACGCACAAAAAAAAAAAAAAATCGAAAGACAAAATCAAGTGGTAATCATTTTTCCTTCTGACGCGCAACGTTCTGACACACTGCTCGTTATAATCACCTGGAAGCGGTGCTAGGAAGGAGAAGACGAGAAGCAGACACGCGTCGTCGAGGCAATCCATAGTCGTTGCGCTGCACCCTCCGCCATCCCCGCCCGCCACCGCCGCGCACGCGGAGGCCTTCCGCCCACCCCGCGCAACACCTGCGCTTTCATGCGCGGGCTCCGCCAGCGCGCATGCTTCCGCCTGCGCAGGAAAGCCCAACGGCCAATTATCCATGACGCGAGGAAGCGGTGATATACTATTACTGCGTACTGCAGTCTGATGAAGGAACCGCGTGTCAGATTCCTTCTATTCGAGCTCTTCAGATGATCATGCGGGGGCAACACATCAACAAAGAAGTCCCAAGGGGGAATTTGAGGAGGTAGCGCAGTGGTGGCTGGGTAGGGTGCGGTTGCACTGGTGGCGTGAGCATTGAGCGAGTGGGGGGAGGGGGGGGAGGGTTGGGGGAAGGCAGAGGTTGAGAGGACATTAGTTCATTCGTCGATGTTATTGGTAGATATTCCTGGAATTCCTTTACCGCGTATTGCGAGGGCTGGTTGGGCGCATCCTCGCCAAAGGGAGCTTCACTCGTGAACATTGTGAATTATCCATATTTTTGTGTTTCCTTCCTACTCACAGCTTTCTTGTTTCACAAACTCAGCTGGCAATGTTCACACATAATCTCACCACAAGGTCCTATACTGAATAGATATGTTTTCAAATGAAACAATTTGTTGTGACAAGTGGCTCACTCTGCAATGGAGATTTTGAGAAGAATACAAAACTGTCAATTTTCACAATCAAGCTCGTGGCTGGAACATGACAGATGCTCCATCTCTCCTACACGAAATATACCGTGATTGTCCATACCTAGAGTATCTATGATGTTCCTACCACTTCCTCAAATGCCTCCTGGTGTCAAAACTTCCCACCAATCATTCTCCCTGAAATCACTCCACTAGCCCCAGAGAATCCTAAATACAGATTGCTGTTTGTAGTCACCTGGAGCGATCCAACCAGCTCCGCCACGTCAGCAGCTGACACCATCACAGCATTGGTGAGTGACCAGGAAGCAGCGCTCATGAGCTGCCACGTGCCAGGGAGGTTCAAGACGACAGTGGAATCACTGACGCTGCAAGCATTTCCCTTGTAGATGGCCTGCGAGGCAGGGGCTTGGGCGATGCCTGACGCATATAGGTAGTAGGCAACTAGGTAATCTGAGCCGCTGCATGGAAAACGGAAGTAGCAACGGAGGGGAAGAGGGCTCAGAAAGAGTGTGAGGAGCTGTAATTAGCGAAGGGGTGCAACCAAATCAGTAGATGCGTTTGGTCAAACAAGCAAGAACTTCTTGAAGAGAAGGAGAAGAACCAAAAAGACAGAATGGTTCAAGAGAAGGCAAGAAGACGGGGTCTTACATCTTGAGGATTTCGATGTTGGCAGCGCCGGCCTGAAGAGAAAGCGGACCGTTGCACGACAGCAGCACCCCACGCAGCATGCCAGCCTGTTGGGGAAGAACATCCGCCAGGCTGCTAATACTGCCGCTCAAAAGCCCGTTAAGAGCGCCACTAATCACTCCGTTGAGGGCGCTGTTGTTTAGAAGGTTGCTGAGGGCCGTGGTGACCGTTTCGTTCAATGCCGTTGTCACGTCGGTTACGGTTCCGTTTAGGGCTCCGTTTAGTGCTCCATTTATGGTGACCTGCAGCAGGAGCGCGTTCACCTTCCCGGCGAGTGACGAAACGTTTGCGTTGATCCCTGCGACTCTCTGCGTCACAGCAGCTATTCTCTGCGACAGCCGCTGCTGCAGCGACGTAGGCTTTCCAGCCGCGCGAATTGATGAAAAACCGGCTGAAAGTCCCGCCAAAACCGCCAGGTCCTTGTTCAAAGCGTCGACGCTGGATCTGATGCTGGAAATGTTGGCCTTGATTGCTGACACTTGAGAATCCAGGCCTGCCGCTGCCGCTGCCGCTGTAGACACGTTCGCAAACAGGACAAGGTTCACGTTTGCGAGGCTCCCGTTCAGAGCAGCGAGGCCGGCTTTTAGCGCGGATATCTGTAATTGAAGAGCGGCGTTTGCAGCTGCCGCGTTGTCATTGAGACGAGCTCCGAGCTGCCCTAGCCTTCCCTTCAATGCCGCGTCAATAGAAGCGACTTGACCGTTTAGGGACGACTGGAGGTCGTTGAGTGTGGCGCTGACTGACATGGACAGGTTTTGTCTAGCGGCAGAGGCTAATTCAGAGGGTTTGAGGGCCGCTGGGAGGCGGTTGGTGGGGAGTACGCCAGGAACGAACCTCGTGGCGCCCGTTGCTCGTAGCATGAGGGCTGCAATTTCGGCGAAACAAGCAGTAATGAGTAAGGTCTCAAAATTATACGTGATTTTAAACGACAGATTCCGAAATAAGGACATGTAGTGACTTCCTGATCTGAAAACGCAAGTTGCAACAATGGCTCACCTGTGACGAACAGCGTAATCGCCAGTGTGACAGAAGCACTTCGTGCCATTGCAGGAACCGTGAGCTGGTTATGCTACTCGTTGACGAAAACCACTGAAGAGGCGACGACGATGAAAACGATAGTTCGTTGTGAGAGCAAGCTAGGGCTTACGAAGATGATGTTGAATACTGAATGGAGAGCAGTTGTGGCTGATTTGATGTTTGATGTCAAACGATTTTCTGCTGAATTTATATGCTGCTGGGGGATTGGAATTTGGGAATCGAAGCAATCAGTGCGGTGCGCACCGCTGATTGCGAACAGCTCATTGGTTGTTTCGCGCCTCCGTCGAGTCGCACGCGGAGAGTCAGCTGCTTGGCGAAGCCAGGGGAGGGCCTGTCGGCCTTCGGTAGGCTGGTGGTACCGACGGACCGTCAGGAACATCAACGGCGCTGAACGGCGACGAAAAGCGACGAGGCTGTGCCTGCCCGTGTCATGGCTCCTGGTTACCCTATGCGACGATATGGGACGGTGTGGCAGGCTGTCGTGGAGGTGGTTACCTAATCTCGGTCGAGTAGCCGGTTGCGAAATCAGGGCACCTGCTCCGACCTAAGCGACACTGGCATCCAGCCTGCGAGCGACTCTGTCATGCCCATAGGGTTGAGCTTTGGAGGTGGACGGGGGTGGAAGAGATGTGCTTGCTGATCACACACATCCCAGGGCATGGCACGGCAAGGATTGCAGATTTGCCTGCAGTCACAAACCCAAAAAACTTATGGGTCTCCTACACACACTTGTACCAAGGTCTTCCACCACTGTACTGTACAGTGCTCGAATCCAACTCAATTTACTCA